TGACTGTGATAGGCGTACAAGAAAACTCCATTTGCCCATCGTGCCAGCGATTTGTTGAGAGACGAGCGCCTGAGCTCGTTGACACCCAACAATCTGCTTAGGCTTATTCGAAAATCGTGCAGATTTAAAACCGAATAAAAGGGATATGAAAACAGTACAATATACGGTATGTAGTTTGAGTGACAAAAAACATATGTACATTAAGGAGGTAATGAAAGAAAATTTTTCCTCTTGTCGAAAGTGGTGCTGGCACCAAACTTTCGGTCTCAAAGTATTTATACATTTACTGCCGGTTTCACAAAAAAAAAAATATATGTGAAAAACAAATTTCCGTCAGTTTCCATATTAGAATCAAAAAAAAATCATTTGAATTGCTTCCGTAAAACTGGCTATTAGAGAATGCTTATGAAATGTTTATATTTTACTTTAAAAGTGTTTTGTACATATCGCACAGTGGTTCGGATAGCAGATCTAGCTGGACGAAAGTCAAAATTTTTTTGTTTTTAAAATACTTAATGGTACTTGGAATACATTCCTGACAATACATTCAAATAGAAATTGCATTTATTAAAGCATTAGCATATGAAAACAAACAAAAAAAGGTAAGTCAACGCCGCCTATTTGAGAACTCTATTTTAAAAGCTGAAATTTAACTTAAAAGACTGCTAATTGCACTCAAAAATAGGTGTTTGTGCCACGTGAAGTGATCAGTCAGCAGTCCAACAAGTTGTCTACAGTCTCGTCTGCTCAGTGAGATTGAAGGCAACATAATTTTTGCACACCTGCAGCCCCTCGATGGGACTGCTATAACTGGTTGCGGAGCGAGGAATTCCTGGTCTGAGCCAGTGCTGGCCAAATGGTCCGATGTCGCATTACCAAGTACTCCCGAGTGATCTGACACTCATAATAAAGCAAGTTCATTACGTTTGCCAATAAAATTTAGTCGCGACCTGCAGTACCGAACTAGTTTGGAAGTAGTTAGAGGGCTGGCCTGGCCAATGCTTTAAGTGCAGCTTGGCTGTCACTGCAGACTCGTAAATCCTTCCCCTCCACCTACTTTCCACACCTAGTCCATGGCCTTGAGGATTGCAAATACCTCAGCTTGAAAGACCGAAGCATACTCCCCCAGATCCTGACCCAGAGTCAGGTTTGGAGCCATTAGTGAAGATTCGACAATGTGTGAGTCCGAGCTCAGTGCAGGTATTAAACAAACATTCAGGCTCAGGGAGTTCAGTATACGGCAATAGTTATTTGAAGTTTAGCAGTTTAGTCTGCTCCACCATACCAGTGACACATAGCTGATTATAGGTCTGATCATAGAGGTATAAATCCAGAGGATTCCCTTTGGTGATAGACCCCACATTTGCCAAAGACCTGTCTACATTGCCAAAATGCTGCCAATGCATTGCAATGCTTTGAAGGTCTTTTGTTCCACTTGACATTTCCACGATAGTTTTGTATTCAGAATTACTCTAAGATTGAATTGTGACCATCCAACCTCTCCTTCTAGTGAAGAGTACAACACTAGTTTTGGTTAGGTTAGCGGCGAGCCCATTTCCATAACACCCTGAGGGCAGCTCTTGCTAACTCCGCACGTGACATATTGACCTCCTTCTGCCTGTATTCTGATGACCCGCTGTGCCAGCATTGAACGAATCGAAATTAGCAGTACAGAATCTACCCCATTCCGTAGAGCGTAATCGCAGTTGCAATGGAATGGTGCATTTCACAGGGCTTCCCCGCCTGATAGGCATGTTGATGCAAAGGCTGAGGATGTGATGAGAGCTGTTGAAAAATGGTGAAAACCGTGGCAATGTACACATTTTTCGCACTTTTTGCTAATTATTTACAATAGCTAATGTGTTTTCAGATAACCTTCTATATAAAAAATGTGGAAAATTAAATTCTCTGCAAATTTTGTGTACAACCGTTTTTACGAAAAATGCAAAATAAGCTTGCAAATCGCAAAACAACCTAAAATCCAAGATGGTGGAATGTTGCCATTTGAAATTTAGGGGCAAGACTGTATTCTAAATTTGGTTAATGTCATACAGTATTTTCTTAAGTATAGTATACACATACTTACACATGTATATGTTTTCCATGAAGGCGTTTTTTTTTAGGTTTAGTGGAAGCTTAGCATTTTATACTTTTCGGAAGATAATAAAATCAGCATCAGCATTCATCGCGATGTAACCGCATGGTCATAAACTTTGATTAACTATAAATTTTTCACGACCAACGAAAACTGAGCCGTGCTTTTTTCTTATATTTTTAGCATACTTCCTTGCTCAATTATCCATCAAGACTTTGTGGTACCACAGCACATAGACTTTATCATCACGGAATGCTACATAGGCAACAATACCGGAAAACCAATCCAAAAGGACGCCTTTTCATTCATACAACAACAGAATGTTGCACTAACAAACTCGAGTAATGTACCCGCCAAAACCTTCTATTTGAAGTCAAGGAAGCCTAATGTTCTGCTTTTGGGTATTGACAGTCTTTCGCGAATAAATTTTCGGCGAACCATGCCAGAGACATTTAAATACATGCAAAGCAATCGTTGGTTTGAATTGCAAGGTTTTAATAAGGTAAGACGACTTTTACACGATTAAAATATTGAATTCAATTCTGTTCGCATGTGGAAGAGAGAGACAGTGAAAAGAAAAGGGGCGAGTACACAATAGGTTTGTTCGTCGAAAATGCAGCAAGAATTATCCAACACTAAAAATATCAGAGAGTAAGAAAAAATTCTCTCAAATTCTCTCTCATGTTGAGAAACTTGCAAATTTCTGCACGAACGCAAATTTGCAGGAATTTGCAAGTTTCGCTGCCAGCTGGCGTCCACGGTTGCATTTCAAACATAAAAAATTTTTATAGAATTTTTAAAATTCTTTCGGATAGCCAAAAACAGGATATACATGTATATTTCTTGTTGTTCTGACTTTCTTTGACATACATTTCAATTTCTTCATCGTACTAGCTGTCGGGTTTCTTAAATCGACTCTGGTTGCAATTGCATTCCGATTGCGAATACCATTTTTTTCAGCCGAATTAAGTTCAAATCATTGGAATTAACTAAATTAATTATATCAACAATTATTTACTTCCTTTTTTCATAAAAAAATCGCTCGTGTTTATAAATTTTTAAATTTAACGAACNGCGCCATGGTTATTTGGAAGATCATCATAGAAAAAAGTTGCTCATACGCCTGAGCCTCCCAGCTATGTATGGGTGCAGTCAGTGGCGTCGATAGCTCCTCATCATGGGTGTGAGCCCATGCCCGTGCATATTTTTCATGCCTTTATACGCAAAAGTAGAAAATTTTCTTAAAAGTACACCCCGTGTCAAAATTATAAGCGCACCACAAGTTTAACCAATTAATTTTTTTAATTTAATTTTAGTTATTCTTTCGTAAAAATATAGTTTATATCTCAACAAAGCCATATAAATGCAAGTTTTAAACTTTGTACAATACTCAATACATAACTCAGCAAACATTCGTAAAAATTGAAGTTTTTTTTATTAGCCGTCTTAAGACTGGTATTCACTATGTCATATTTTCGACGCCAAAATTTGGCAACATTTTTTAACACAACTGCTGCTTTATCTGCTTTATCCATACCCCTTTACCCAGAATATTATGGTCAAAAAATTTACAGAAAGTCGATTTCGCAGTGCATGAACACAACTAAAGAGCAATCCTAATCCAAATCAATCGATAAACCGATTTTTGATCCCATTTGACAATGTGTTTTTACTTATGTGACGACAAGTGCCACTGAATTTGACATAGTGAAATCTAGCATTTAGATTTTGGGTATGCAGTTTTTTAACCCATTCAATTTTAGTATAACAAAGTGCAAATTTGAGATACCTTGGAGTTACCGTTGATTTTTGCTCGATTTCTTTTTGTTGGTAATTTTGTGCATTTTCTTCCGTTGAGGATTATATTTTTATAGAACAAGATGAGCAACACCTTCAACAAAAACGAATTCTAAAAATCAAAACTATCATTCTAAGATAAGAGAAGCAATTGAGTCATCGATCACTTCAATTTTGTTCAAATGTCCTTTAAAATGATATCCTGGTACTCATCAGAAATATCTCTCAAATTTCCAACGTTGTAAGGCCGAATTTTTTCCTTTAAGTGGGAGCAAAGATTTTAGATGGATTTTTGCTTAAATAGTCTCCATATGGTTTTAAAACCGTTATTTTGTGCTCCGAATACCGAGTTATGGGTAAATATTCTGCTAGAAAATCCATGATTCTGCTATATTACCATCAATAAATCGCACACCGTCTTCAAAAGAGGCAATTGTATAGATTCAACGCAATTGATACAAAAACAGGTATAACAGTAGTTTTCTGGTTAGAGAACATAACCATGAAGAATACATATGTACATATATGGTCTTTAGTTGTCTCTCTTTAATTGATTTTAAGTACTTAAAAAAAATTATAACTTAGTTTTGTTAAAAATATAAGGTTATTTCTGAGCTCGCGGTCTCTTGGGCCGGAGCCTTCTCGGATCGGGGGCTCTTGGCATTTTGCCAGCCATGCCGTCCTATAGTTACACCTCTGACTACTACTCTAAGAAAATAGCTCAAAGATCGTCACTGGTGATATTTAGGGTATTTTTCGATTTTTCCATATTAGCCATTGGACATTTTTGAAGAGAAAAAGTACTTCTTAAACAAATTTCAAGTCAAATTACTTTGCACGATTGTAAGAAACTTTATTCTGTAGCTGTAGCTGATTGCGTAGAGATGTATGCTGTTATTTGTTAGCTTCCAGAAGGTCCCTAATTCGAATGCCGTCTGACACAACTTGTAGTTCTCGATTTCTGTTTGTTTTTTTCCTAATTATGAAAAAGCATCTATGAAGTACAGAATGAAAGCGTACTTAAGTGAAAAAATCGCTCAAACAAAAATCTGTTTAAAGTTAATACATATACAAAATATCGATTGGTACCAAGTTATACGTGTTTTTTTTTTTTAACAAGCGCGATATGGTTTTTTTTCGCAGTTTTAGTGAAGAAAAATATTGCGTTAGGAAGAAGAAATTTGCTTTTCACTACTCATGTTCTTTTGTTAACTTTGGTTGGTTGGTTGGTTTAAGTGGATTGTCACCATGGTGACAAGCAATTAACCAGTTGCAATTTTGATTCCACAACTCGTGCAACCTACAGCCATTTGGCGGCAGTTCCACTCAGAAATATTCTGCAGGAATCGTTTACCGAGTGAATTTAGCCCCATCCTTGCGAGGGCTGGACACTCGCACAGGAAGTGTTCGACTGTCTCTTTTGAGCCCGGGTCATTGCAACTGCGTCAGAACCTATTGAAGGACAATTCCAAACTTTCAGCATGCACCCCAACGGGCCAGTGCCCTATGCACACTGCAGTAAATTTGTAGGCACCTTTTTTGTTCATTCCTAAAAGAGCTTTGGTTTTGATTGGACCGTAGAACACCCAGAACTGCCGTATAATCCTATAAGATCTTATGCAGTTCCACCTCTGCTTGGCCTTCGAGTGAGAAATTTCGGTAATTTTTGTCTTAATCTCCCTGATAGAGGCGCCCATGTCCACCGCGTGGAACACATCCAGTGCGGTGCCGCTCCTTGCTAGTTCATCCGCTGCCTCGTTTTCGTAAATGTCCCCATGTCCCGGGACCCATATTACGGTAATTTCGTTTTGGTCAGGAATATAGGCTATCTCTCTCCGACATTCAACTACTAGTTGATATCTTACAGAGGTAGATGAGAGCGCCTGAATGACCGCTTGGCTATCCGAGAGGATGTTCACCTGCGTTCTCGCAGATATATTCCCCTTGATGTACCTTACTGTTTCCTTAATAGCAAACGCTTGCATAGTCTGGTAGGCGGAAGGATAATTTTTAATTATATTTCTCAATGAAAACCCCTGTACCAACTCCGCATTCCATTTTTGATCCATCCGTAAAGACAGTTAAGCCCTTCAAGAACTCGACCTTTTCTTGATTCCAGTCACTGCAGCTTAGGAATTTCGTGCGGGGTTTGTGGTGAACTTAGATCTTCGACAGCATAAAATCAGTGGGTAGCGCTTTGATTTCAGACAGTAGTGCGTCTAGGATGGAACCATGCCCGAACGGTTTATCCTTCCAGAACCCCAGGGCACGCAGTCTTATGGGATTGTTAGCAGCTGAGTTTTCGATAAATATATATATGCGTAATAAATCAAGAAAGTCGTTCAAAATCCCTTATAGACAGAAACTCGCCACTGGTGAAAACTGAAAATTTGGTGCATTACTCCAACTGTGCCCCTCAACAGGCAATGGCAAACCTCCGAGTGTCCTTTTGCCCTGAAAAAACTTCTCATAAAAGCTACATATTTTCCTTCGCAATCAGCTCAAAACTATAGGTCCATGTCTTTGTGTACTAATATCAAGTTGCGCACTACAAATTGGAGGAAAAGTTTGGCCAAATATTTTACAAGAAAGCGAACGCCACATGTTTACATAGTTTCCATTACCGACAAATTTGTATCAAAAACACTTAACTAAACAATTTTTTCTTCGTTTCTACAGATTGGTGACAATACGTTTCCAAATCTAATGGCTCTACTTACGTCGTACAATCCATCCACTGCTTATGATAAATGTAAACCAAAATCTGAAGGCGGTCTGAATAAACCAATTTGTAATCTAATTTGGAATAATTTTAAAGAGTACGGCTACAAAACAGCTTATGCAGAAGACGAACGCTCGATGAGTACGTTTAATTATCTAAAGAAAGGATTTGTGCAACCGCCAACGGATTATTATTTACGGCCCATGTTCATGGCCATTTCAAAAAATATGGTCGTAAAAAAACGATCAGGCCTATCATATTGTATCGGTCGCAAGCATTCTGGCGAATACGTTTTTGATTACGCATTGCAATTTGCAAATGCTCTACCTGCAGATCCGCTCTTCGGACTATTCTGGACAAATTCATTCAGTCACAACTCTTTCGATACGACAGCAACAATGGATGTGAAGATTTTAGAATATCTTAAGGAAATGAAGAGCGCTGGCATACTGGAGCGTTCAATTGTGTTATTTTTTGGTGACCATGGAAGTCGTTGGGGTCCATTGCTTGGATTAAAATCCGGATTCTTAGAAGAACGTTTGCCGATGATGTTTATATCACTGCCAATGTGGTACCGAAACGAACATCCCGAGTTCGTAGAAGCTTTGCAAATAAATCAAAATCGTTTAACTACGCCCTATGATATCTATGCGACAATGAAGCATATACTTGAAGAGACAAATCGGGAAAAAGAGTTTCCATACCTCAATGGCACAGTGAGGGGGCTAAGTATTTTTCGAGAAATACCCGAGAATCGTACTTGTGAAGAGGCCGGTATCACTGAGCACTGGTGCACTTGTGTGGCATATGAAACTGTACGTACCAGCGATGCTACGGCAAAAATTGTAACAAAATTGGTTATACAGGAAATTAACCAATACCTTGAGGATAAAAACATTAGTAGCAAATGCAGTCCACTAACTTTGAAGAGCTTGAAGAAGGTTGACAAGAAATTATTTGATTTACCAAATCGGTCTACATATAGATTAGATTTCACAGCAAAACCGAAAGATCCACAATTTCAAGCAACAGCTGATTATGATAATATTTCAAAAACAATTACCATAAATGTGGAAGAAATATCTCGTCAAAATAAATATGAAGGAATGTCTGATTGCATTGATCTAAAGGAAGCGAAGAAGTTTTGTATTTGCACAGACAAATCTTAGTGTTTGTTCATACTATTTAAGAGTGATATGCCCCCCGGTAGCGGGTACAAAATGAGAATGATATTTAAAAAAGAGTTTGCATAAAAAGTGATTTCTTTGCAGAAGCAATTTTATTACTGTTAATGCAACCTCAATTTTCGCACGGAATGAAAGCATGAAATTCTTTTAGAATTAGATCCGGTTACTTCCAGCGTTTCCGGGTTCCGAACATAATAATTGCACCAAGAACAATGACAAAATCGACCACTTTTTCACATTTTGGGGCAAGACAACAAAAAATACAACTTAATTTTCAACGAACTACTTGCATTTAAGCATTACTACTTTTTGGAAATTTATTCCAAACGGCAACACCAAAGCTCTGGTGTAAGTGAATATAGTGAACATAGCTTCCAGAAATAAATGGTAAGGATAAGGTTTACAGACTGGCTTTGGATAAAGTTCATATACTCTTCTCGATATTTCATAATTAAAATAGTCTCGTGACCAAAATATATGTACATACATACGTGAACCAAGTGAAAATCTCCCAAGCAAAAAAGAAAATTTACTACTTGGTTGAAATTGTTGTATTTGCCACGACATTGTAAAATACTGAAATTGATGAGGGTCCGCGGAGTATTTACCTAAAACTAAATGGGTTTTCGACTCACGTTTTCTTGCGTGTTGTCGTCATATCCGCGAATCGTTGTTTCGAGCTAAACTTCGAAAAAGTAACGATATCAAAAGTTGCTCTCTTCAATCGCCTCTCAAAAAACTGGATAAATATGCATATCAACCATGATAAAAACATAGCAAGGTATAACCGTTCTCTCAATTTGTCGGCCATGATTTTTTTTTTGAAGTTTGCCAACATTTTAAAATCATATAAAAGTGAAAATAAAAAATTGAAATTGTTCGAAATTGTTGTTGCTTGAGATTGAAAATGAAAATGTGTGTGTGAGTTTGTGAGTAAATTTAAAAATTAAATTGTTTGGAAACGTCAAGAATTTTAAAAGTGACTCTCAGCGGTTCTACCTTACTATATTTTTATCATGATATCAACTACAAATTTCAAGAGTGGAGTATGACATAGATAGAAAAGTGAAAACAAGACTGTTGGCGGGCGAAATAGAGATACACAACAACTTTTGTCGTAAGGCATTGAATTAAAATCGAACTGGACCTGCGATGAATACGATACAGCTTTCGTTACTTTTTATTGGTAAAGTCAAATTTCAAACAGTAATTATGCATGGGAAATTCATGTCCAAAGATTTTTGCCTTTCGCGAGCAATCCGAATTGAAACCAGAGGCATAACTATTATTATAGTAAGAAAAAAATGTTTCGAGTCATCTATAACTATAACTGTTAGACTTACATATGTATGTATGTAAGTATATTACAAAAGTATTTTCATAATAATTACACCAGTCAACACGATTTTTCGGTCTGACTTCTAAATGTTAAATTTAAGTTTTTCCTACGCTAAAAATAAGAAAAAACAATTTTTTTTTTATTAAAGTTTGGTTTTGTAAAAGCTAGAGCAATTTTTAATTTTTTCTGGAAAAATCACTAATTTGTATATATTTATTTTTTATAATTTTACTTTAAATTATAATTAGAAAAGTTTTTGCTGAATCAATTCATTTTTATCAATTGGTCAATTTGAATTTCAAGTGTTTTTCTTATGTTTTGAATGACAATCTAAGCATGAGAACAGAAACCCAAAGCAAAAAAAATGTTTTTGTTGACCGGTGTTATGAGCGAGAACTAGTCCCGAAATAGTGCTGAAATATTCCTGAACTAAGCCCAGAATGATTTCGAAAAAGTCTTGAACTAAATAGTCCCGAAATTATTTCGGAAAAATTCCGAACTAGTCTCGAAATGTTCCCGAGTTAGTACCGAAACAGTACTGAACAAGTTCCATTCTTTAAGACTTAAAAAATTTTTCCTCGCTAATAACTCGAACTCGAACGAGTCAGATACGGATTCAGTGGGTCGAAATACATGTCAGTAGCTTGCACTGTTTAAATGAAAATAAAAATCTTTGAAGACTTAAAAAAAATGTATCTCGCTGATAACACAGTAGGAAGGCAAAAATATTACAACTAAACGG